CTCCCTCGGCGTTAGGCTCCTCAACCTCACCTCCTGGCTCGCGCGAGTGACACAGGTAGAACTTGGTGGTAGAAGGCGTTCCGCCAAATATCGAGGCCCTAAACCGTTTAGGGCTTTGTACGTGAGCATCAACACCTTGAAGTCGATGCGGAATCGGATGGGCAGCCAGTGCAATGCGGCCAGAGTGGGTGAGATATATTGGAATTTTTTCACCCCACTAAGGAGTCTGGCCGCCGCGTTCTGCACCACCTGAAGTTTCCGCAGCAGCCTCAAAGGTAGCCCCACGTAGAGCTCATTACAGTAGTCTAATCTTGAGATTACGAGCGCGTGCACCAAAGTGGTGAGCGCCCCAACATCAAGATAGGGCCGCAGCTGGGCCACCCGCCTGAGATCCCTTTTGTCTGAACATGGTCCCCAGGTAAAACCTTTTGCACCCCACACAGAGGGTCACATATATTGGAGGAGTCCTAGATGCCGTTTTGGTTCAGGCATTTGTACCCAAGGACAGGATCATACAGATCCAGGATATGCTTCACCTCTTCACTACAGGAGCCAAGGTTCAAGGTCTTCAGGTACAAAGGCTGTTGGGTCTCATGGCTTCAACCACTGCAGTAATCCAACATGCCAGACTGAAGATGCGGTCACTCCAGGCTTGGTACCTAGCGCTGTTCGATTCTCTATTGGACTCCCCCTTCAAACTCCTGATGGTTATACCAGAACTTGCAGAACAACTCACCTGGTGGTCTCTCCGGTCCAGTCTTCTTGTTGGCAGACCCTTCGGACCCCTTACACCAACAATACAAATTACCACAGACGCCAGTCCGACAGGTTGGGGGGCACATGCTCTAGACCTAACAGTAAATGGGCATTGGATGCCAGGAGAAAGTCGCCTCCACATCAGTCTGTTAGAACTCCTCGCTGTTTTCAAGGTTCTTTGGGCATTTGTCTCCTTTCAGGACAGGTAGTACAGGTTGCAACCAACAATACTACAGCGGTTTTCTACCTGAACAAGCAGGGTGGCACACATTTGCAATGCCTCCTATATCTCACTGTCCAAATCTGGGAGTGATGCTACGAGCACCATATTTTTCCCATTGCTGTTCATGTTGCCTCTACAGACAACCTTCTAGCCGATCACTTGAGCAGGCTTCAAGATTGCACACACGAGTGGTCATTGGACGGTGCAGTGTCCCAGTCTCTGCCACCGGTGGGGCACTCCGTGTATGGATGTCTTTGCGTCTCCTGCCAACAAAAAATGTGTCCGGTACTGTTCCCAGGCAGGAGCCGGCCTCCATTCCTTGGGCGACGCATTTATGGTGCCATGGATGGAGGAATAGTTATACATGTTTCCCCCTATCCCGCTGATCTAAAAGGCGGTCATCAAAGCTCGTCAAGATCGAGCAAACGTGATATTCATCGCTCCTTGGTGGCCTCGCCAGACGTGGTTCTCCCCACTACATCAACACTCAATCGACCATTTTTGTCTACCAATACTTCCTCACCTGCTCTCTCTTCACAACGGCAGGATGCTACATCCAGACCTGGACTCATTACACCTCACAGGCTGGAGGCTGGTCCATCAATAGCAGATGTTCTGTGCCAAGCCCGGAGACCATCCATTACTGCCACTTTTGCCCACAAGTGGAAAATATTTTCAGACTTTGCTGTCAAGAACAACCTCCCTGTACTACCTACCTCGCTGGATGCTTTGTTGAAGTTCCTCCTCCTTCTATTTCAGCGCGGACCTTCGCATTCAACCTTTAAAGTTTACATAGCTGCAATTGTTGCCCAAGAGCCTCCATCTTTGGATGCGGCCAAATTGTTTTGACATCCAACATTAAAGCAATTTCTGAAGGACCTTAGGAATATGCATCCGGCCTACAGACCCCCCACCCCCCAGTGGTCCCTACAGCTTGTGTTGAGGAAACTGATGTCTCCACCATTTGAACATTTGGCTTGCACTTTTTAAAAATTATTTACAGTGGACCCTTGACTTACGAAAGTCCCTACTTACAAAAATTACAAACAAGGCAGAGGGCACCGGGGACAGGAGACAAGAGGGCAGCGGGTGCAGCTTTGGAAGTCCAGCAAGTGGAAAGCTGGCAGCAGGTGCGGAGGTCGGGGTGGCTTTTGGCTTGCCGGTCTTCCGAAGCTGCCCCCACTGCCCTCTGCCTCCTGTCCCCATGGGGATGGGAGGCAGAGGGCAGCGGGGACAGAAGGCAGCGGTTGCAGCTTTGGAAACCCGAGATTTATTTTCTTAGGCCAGTTACAGATTAATGGGTTTTCAGTGCATTGCTATGGGAAATTGACCCTCGACCTACAGACTTTTCGACCTGTGGGCACCGTTCCAATATGGATTAATTCTGTAAGTCGAGGGACCACTGTATCATAAAAACATTTGCTGTCACTTCGGCTCGACAGGATAGTGAACTAACTGCTCTGTGAATTGACCCACCATTCTTATCCACCCGGATAAGGTCCCCCTCTTCCCAGATCTCTCCTTTTTGCTGAACGTAGCTACATCTTTCCACCTGAATCAGCCCATTATCCTACCCACTTTCTTCCCAAAGCCGACTACAAATTTGGAAAAGTCCCTTCATTCACTGGACGTCAAGAGAGCTCTTGCTGACTATCTCCCCAAGACAGCATCCTTTTGGTCCTCCCAGAGGCTCTTCGTTGCTTTCCAAGGACTATCTAAAGGATCACCTGTATCACCTCAGACGTTCTCCAGATGGATAGTCGTGGCAATAAAATTGGCATATGAACTGGCTCGTACACCTCTGCCAACTACCATCTGGGCCCACTCTAATAGGACAGTCGCTTCCTCCACAGTCTTCCTTAGAGGAGTAGACCTGACAGATGTCTGCAAGGCTGCTACTTGGTCCATGCCTCTCACCTTTGCAGCCCACTACTGCCTGGATGTTCGGGCCAAGGCAGAAGCTGCTGTGGGAAGAGCGGTCTTGGCTTCTGTTTTGCTGTGACATCCACCACCTGGTAAGTCAGCTTGCTAGTCACCCACTAGTGTGCATTCACAGAGACCATGAAGAAGAAAGGGAAGTTACCTACCTGTAACTCTGGTTCTTCAAATGGTCATCTGTGAATTCATACGTCCCACTCTTCCTCCCCGCTGTTCGTCACAGATGCCATACAACATGCTGTGCAGCGGTGGACAGTTCTACAGAACTGAGGTACTTGGTGCATGTTCTTGGTGTGCTTAAAGCTCTAGAAGGTTCTGAAGCTGCTCTGCTCAGGCGCAGATTAACCGATTAGTGTAAATTCACAGATGACCACTCGAAGAACCAGAGTTACAGGTAGGTAACTTCTCTTTATTTATGATGTTAATTTCAAGCAAAAGCAAGAAATAAAGGTTTAAAGTAGCCCACTATTCTGGGTCATTGGAGATATTTCTCTAGGAAACTATCCTGTGCAGAAACCCACTTGTGATAATTGAGTATGGTATGAAAGCACTAGTGTTCATTCAGTTAATTCTGTTTATTTATTACAAGATGACTCGCGCCAAACTCCAGTATGGTGAACTCTGTTCTTTGTACTCTGTTCTCATCAGTCTCTCATTTAGGTCTCTACGGTTGCTGTTTTGAACTTTGTACTTATTCATCCCTATGGCCAAGATGTCTAGTACCTTATTTACAATAATGATAAAATATGCTTCTATTTTTTTATTTTATTTTTTTAGCTTTCTGCATTGACTCCTCCTCCCACAGACTAAGTAGCCAGTACCTGATCAGGGACCACATGGCCGTGCATTACAATAAAATCCTTTCAGCCAAAGGTAAAAATAGTCATATTTGAGCACTGTTCTGTTCTGTTCTGTTCTGTTTTTTTAAGTACTGCTAGGGCATAATATCAAGATTTAACCCTGTACTGATGGTTATGATGTATGTAGATCAGTGGTTCCCAACCTTGAGTAACCCAGCTGTTCTTGGACTTCAACTCCCAGAAACCCCAGCCAGCGCAGCTGGTGGTGAAAGTTTCTGGGAACTGCAGTCCAAGAACACTTAAGTTACCCAAGGTTGGAAACCAGTGACATACCGTATTTTTCGCTCTATAAGACGCAGTTTTCCCCCACAAAACAGGGGGGTGGAAAGTCTGTGCGTCTTATGGAGCGAAGAAAACAGATTATTTTTCCATGTTTTCTTCTCCTAAAAATTTGGTGCGTCTTATGGAGAGGTGCATCTTATGGAGCGAAAAATACGGGTAGATGGTTAGAATAGTTGGATAGGACGACCAGGTTCAAATTCTCATTCAATTACAAAGCTTTCTGGGTAACTAGTCATCTTTTCTGAGCCTGGCCTGTCTTCTCAGATAGTGATGATAAAAAATGAGCAGGAGAGAAGAACCACATACGCAACCCTGAGCTCTTGGGGAAAATGGCAGGGTAGAAAGTTAATATACAGTAGGACCCCTGTAGGTTTCAAGCCTTCTCTTGCGGATAGTGAAAAACATGGTTTATAGTGTACACTGTGAAACTCTTAAACCCATAACTGCAATTTTTATCTCGATAGGGTCTCTATCAAAGCCAAATTGAAGTCTTCTTTACTAAACTGCTGAAGATTGAACAGATTGAAGGCGGCTGTTCCCCTGTTCCCCCCTTTCTTTCTCATTCATACACACACACAGTCTCAATGGCTCTGCAACATTTCTTCAAAGACAATTAAGAATCCTCATTTACCCAGGAGTCTTCAGGAAGGAGCTGGCTGGAAAGCAGGAAGGGGTGTGGGGTGGGAAATGTCTCCCAGGAGGTGATTTGACTTAAGGCTTGCACTCCTCCAGTCTTGCCAGCCAACCCAGCATTGAGGTTTACAACACTGCTCTGGAAGGAAGATGCCTCTTCTATAGAGCAGAGGTCCCCAACCCCTGGTCCACAGCCAGGTGCCAGTTCGTGGCCTGAGCCGGACCGGGCTGGGAGACAGACCTCCTGCCCCATCCCCCGCACGCACTCACCTCCGCACAGCTGATTTGAACATGCAGGCGTGCTCCAACACACCCATGTGAGTGCCGCCGTTTGCACATGTGCAAGCACCCGCACAAGCGCCGTGCCATCATTTGCGCATGAGTGCACACCCACACAAACGCTATGCCGCCATTCGCACATGCGCACGAGCTCAGGGGGTACCCCGCCTTCCCCAGCCGGTCCGCAGGTAGAAAAAGGTTGGGTACCCCTTCTATAGAGCATAGTATCTGCTTCCCTCTAGTGGCCAGTTCCAATAACTACATTTGATTATCCTTAAATCTCAGTACATGTATTTTTGTTTAAAATGTTTAGTATCTTCAGACTGTGGTTAACAAACCGTGGATATTGATGTAATGGATATGGGGGTCTTACTGTATAAGTAAATATGCATGTAGCAAAACTTTGAAATTAATCTCTGAGATTATATGCTGCAACTTTATGGAGAAGCAAGATGTAATGAGCTGCCTCAGAAGGTACTGAGTTGCTTCTTATAATTATAGAGGAAGCCTTCTCAATGCTTGCTTTGGCCCTTCTTTGGCCCCAAAGCATAGAAAGTTTGTATTGGATACTTTCTGTGTTCTTTTTACATCCATGTTCTACTGCATGAGTTTAGCACCAGTGATTTCTCAGATACCAGACACTTGGAGCATAGAAAAGGTATGTGATATGCTGTTGCCATAATGGGGGTAAATGCCAGCAGTTCTATCAGTGTAGGTTATAAGGGCAAAGGGCATACTTATATATATATAAGTATGCCATAAGACATAAGTGAATGCAAAAGCGTTTGGCACACTAGCATCTCTTCACAAGCTAGCTACCCTATGCTGTGTAGCATTGTGAAAATTCATGCAGTATTTTCTCCGTTTTAAACAGCATGTTTGGACTATTTACAGTTCTCCTTTATTTAGCTCACCTTCTTCTTGCATGTTATTATTTTTTAGGTGTGCTATTTCCCTCTACTTTGTACTAAAACACACACGCCTGACATTTCAGAATTTTCATTGTAGAATTAATAGTAAAATGTCAGCACTTTGATTTTAAAATATTCTACTAGGTGTTTGAAATGCTAAATTGAACCAGGAGCTCCAGTATTGATTAATTATGGGGGAAATTATTTTCCCTCTAAAAGTTAAAGCAAAAATAAAAGTGTTAGACTGGATATAGCCTGTGCCAGTATGACAGTCTGAAGATATTATAACATTAAGCTACATCATCTGCCATTTCTTGGATCGCTGAACAGATACTCATTCTCCAAAGATGGTAGTCTATCTTAATTAGTATTTGGCAGAAGCATCTTAACATTAATTATTCTGTAGGCTCTTTTTTCATTGTATTGCCTCAAGGTACTCCCATTTTCACACTATGTGATCACAGTGGGTGGTTTTATATTTTTAAAAACATTGTTGCCACTTACAGAGTGGTTCCAGATGTCACTCTCATGAGCAGAAGATGAAAATAACAGTACAATTCTGTGCATCTCTACTCAGTAGTAAGTTACTTCTTGCTAATGAATTATATGATGGTAGCCTGAATCTTGTACTCATTTAAGCTATATAGTCAGTCAGTAAATAAAATTCCCTAGTAAAATCATCCTTAATTTAAAATGCCATTTTTTGCAAAATACAGCTTCTGCATGAGAATAGCATTATATCTGCAGGTACATTTTTATTTTGCTTATAGTTGTCTATTTTCATGAAGGTGTCTACTCATGACTTCATTGTTGATTCTGGATTGATATTCTAATTATCATTATTGGAGTAATGTTGTTAGTCAGTGACTAATGTAAATTAATGGTTTGATCTTCATATCATACTGTCAAAATTCCCTTAAAAATAAAAAAGTAAACTAAGTTTCTAGCCCTTGTGATCTAAATATATCATCAACCTTGTAAAGAATAAATAAAAATAACTCGTACCAGGCTTGTGCCACTGCTTATCCTGAACTGGTGTGACTTTTCCTAAAGAATATAACTTAAGCAGGAGGAAAAATAAATAGCCTTACCTCTTTGGCCTAAGGAGAGTAAGCAGCAAAAACCTAAAGTTGTGGACACTTTTTGTTTGCTCAAGATCCTCTCAGTGGTAACACAACCTGAGTCCTTTCCTCCTCTGCGTAAACATCTGACTAAAAAATTTGGGATTGAAAGTACCTGAACAGCTTTCACAAAAGGTGAACAGAGCTAACACGACCACTGAACAATCAATACAGTGGGGAAATTGGTCTAGATGGAGGAGAGGAGATTGAGCTCCAGTTTGCAAATGAACCACCTAAGAAATGCTGTCAGACATGTGGACACCTAGTTGCTAAACTAGAAACAAAATAGATATGGAGAAAGTGGTATCTGTGTTCTAAGACGTCCATTTTTAGGGGTAGGGCTGTGGTACTGGCTCATTATCCTTCATTCACTTCTCACAGTGGGAACATCTCAAAATGAACTATTTGCTAATAAGACATCTGCAGGCTGGAAAAGTTACATAAATTATACATACGCAAGTCAAACACACCAAATTCGAATCTCACATATGTGTACTCTACATCAGCGGTCCCCAACTGTTTTGGGACTGCGAACCGGCTGAGCCTCCAAGGAAGGCCGGGGCCCCCCGCAGGTGCGCGCTCTCTCAGGCGCATGTATGAAGCGGTGGGAGAGCACCTGCCCGCACCGGCGTGAGCGCTCCCCCACCCCTTCCCGCATGCGCAGGGGCATCTTCATACCCATGCGGGCGCTCGGGCACTCAGCCGCATGCATGAAGGTTTGGGGGAGCACTCACATCAGCGCTGGCATGAGCGCACATGCGCAAAGCAGCTGTTGGGAGGGGAGTGCATGCAGGGGGGGCATGAGGTCTGTCTTTGTGGCCCGGTCCAGGTTAGGCTACAGACTGGCACTGGGCCGTGGATCGGGGGTTGACAACCTCTGCTCTACAGCAAGTGGTTTGTCTCTGTAACAGAATGGGCACATGACATTGGGTTGATACTCCAGATACAGCGAAAAGACAGTGTTGTACATGAAGGAATTGAAACAAGGGAGACCAGGGGAGAGTAAGACATTAACTGAGAGATTATAGTATGGTCCAGTGGTGTGAGACTTGCTCCCAGTTTTGCAAGAGTGATTATGACCCTGTCATCTCTTGGTGTTTGTGGTGCATGTGTCTTCCCTTGTTTCGTTCTTTCAGTATTAATGGACTACTTCCAGAGCTAAGAAAGCCACACTATCCATTTGTTTGCTTATAGCATAATAAATAAATAAATAAGCAAGCAAGCAAGCAAATTGTGTGCTTTCAAGGCATTCCTAAGCTGTGGAAGTTGCTATGTTATTTATTATGCTTGGAGAGCACCCTTCCAGCAAAAAAGGGTAGCTTGCAGTCCAAGGTAAAAAGAAAGAAAAAGAGACAGATAAGAAGGAGGAAGATAAGCAGATTTAAGACATAGGTTGTTTGAATGATAAACAGTAGGGATGGGGAGCAGGATCCTTCCACATGAATAGCAATTGATCCATAGGAGAAGTCAGTCAGGGCTGCAGTTGGTAGTAAAAGGAGTCAAAGCCCCCCCCCCCAAAGCAGGCATTAAGGGAAGAGAGAGTTATGAGTGGGCTCACACCCATCTGTCACCCTGGGGGCCTTATTGAAATCTAGAAAGCATAGAATTATGCTAAGGGGTGGCAGATTTTCCATGCCTGGCATATAATGAAGCTCTGTAATGGAACTGTAGGAGACAAGCGGAAGGAAGAGTCAAGGGGCTCCTAAATAGGCTGATGAAAAAGTCTCTGTTTTACCTCATCTCTTCTAGTAGCTGCTCTTAGAGGTGGTTCTGTCGGGGGGGGGGGCTAGGCCAAACAGCAGTCGGCCTTAGCGTGACTGGCTGTCGTACCTCCCTTCTGCCTGAAAGAACCAGGCGGAATGTCTGCTACTGATGGCAGTTCTGAAAGGGAGGGAATAAAATGGCAGTTGGTCCCAACCGAGTTTTCTCAGCATCACAGTGGTTCTCAGCTAGCCAGGACAGTCGGCCTCCTAGCCGCTCCACAATTCCCTTTCCAACCAACTCTCGTTGCCCTGCTTGTAACAAATAAAGGTTCCCCTTTGTCCCATAGCTGGTGTTGAAAAGAAAATAAAGGATCACAGTCCAGCAGTTTTACCTCAGCTTTTGGACACGGAACTCATTCCAAGAGTTCCCAGGTAGTCTCTCCACCAGCCTTTGGGTAGACTTAAAATTGCTCAGTTTTACCAGCATGCCTTTAAACCAGGCCCTGGGCTTTAAATCAGAGGAGAAGAACTGAAGCACACCAGCTGTGTTTTCAGTTTGGGGCAGCTATATTATGATTTCTTTCTTTTTTCATTGCTGTCTTCTGTATATTTAGTCCTTTTCATTCTCTGTTAACATATATGTACTAAATCCAGTCATTAGTTCTACCTAGAGTAGACCCTTAAATCAACAGGACTGACATTCCAGTCATTTCAGAAAGTCTGCTCTAACTGGGGATGACAATTAGAATTATCCATATATTTTCAGAAAGTTGATTATAGTCCATAGTATCTGTTCCGGCTGTGCAGTTCTAAGATTTATTATATATACTGTGTGTGTTTCTGTTTATACATACATATATACAGATACACACAGTTAAACAGATTACAATGCTATTGTATTAGTATTACAGTAATACAATAGTATTATTGCCATCTGTTTGATTGTTTTATAGCACTTCGTGAGGCTTCTGGACTCCTGAAAGGTGGTTAAAAAAATCTTCTGATAAATAAAACAACACTGCTTTGGGTGCCAAAATGCCTTGTGATGACTCTCATCTACTAGTACCTTCTCTGGCAAATAGACTCTGGGGTAGAACTGCTCAATAGGATTAATTGTTACTGGAAACTAGATGCATTATTACTGGAATCTAGATGTTTTATATATCTCCAGGTTTACCATTAACACTGATATGATTCTAATCTTCCTTTTTCCCTGTGTATCACTACCCACATTCTTAGTAACTGCCTTACCGGTGAGCATATTCATGTTCGGTTTTCATTAAAACCTCAAAAGAGAACAAATACTCTTTATTATGTATTACCATGTGGGAAGGCAGTCTATATACAGACACATGGAGCTACAGTTACAGGAGACACTGTTCCATCATGAAGTTATATTTTCCACAGATGCAGAAGTGTAGCCAGATCATGGTAGGGTTTTTTTTAATTAAAAAGCCTACATCCTGTAAAGGCCAATTATGAGATTTTTATTTCTTTCTTTAACATCTAATTGAATCCTTTGAAACAGAAATGCTAATTAAAAGAGCAACGTATTTAAAAGCAACATTTTAACAGCTAGGCTGTTCATTTTCTTAGTTACTTTAGTCACTATTACAAACCTTCAAGAGATTATTTATTCACTCATTCTAATTGTGTTGTTTATTTTCAGCCGCTGTAGACTGTTCAGTACCAAAAAGCAGGCTAAACAGCATAAAGTGTAAGTACCTACTTTGAAGCATTAATCTTTTAAAACTTTTCTAAAGGTATGCCATGGGGGTTTGGGGTTTTGTGTAGCTGTTTTTAAAGTAATAATGGCCTGCATTGTATTGTTTTAGAATCGAGATGTGGGTTTGTGTGAAACATTCATACCATACAGAATGCAACAAAACACACAACCAAACTACTATAAGGCAGCTTTAATCGTTTTATGACATCCTTTGTTTTATTTTCCATATATTATTCTCTTCAGTTTTATTCCTAAAGCTAAGTGGGGTCAAACTATACTCTTGTGTAAACCCTGTCCTATAATGCAGGACCATACAAATCTATCATAGAGCTGTCTACACAAAGCCCAACTATACTTTAGAAGGGTATAGTGCTTGGTGAACAATTAGAAATGAGTCTATTATTAGTGTCATTCTAACAATAGCTTAGACAGGTTAGTATCCCTTCCCTAGTGTAAAAGATCAAATGGTTGCTGAACATGGTGTCATTCATGTATTTTTCTGGACTTAAGGAATTAAACAGAGTTTACAGAACAAAATTAAACAATAGGCATCTCACAATGGTGGGAAAAGAAACAATTAGCTCTCTGTTTTAACATTTTAAAGGCCTATATGAGTCTTTGAATGCTTCAGCTAGATATGGGAAGGTAAATTGCTTAACCTCCGAGTATGTAAAAGGTGGAAACAGGGAACTACAGTCCAGTCAGCCTGACAGCAATCCTAGGGAAAATTCTGCAGCAGATTATAAAACAGTTACTCTTCTTTTTTTAATTTTATTTTATTAAAAGAACATCAAACATAGACAACATAAACCTACCACCACAATAATAAAGCAGTCACTCTTAAAGCACATTGAAAATGTGGTGGGGAGTGTTTGGGGAATTTTATGTGTGTGCATGTGTCTGGTCTCTGGGTGTCTGTGAATTTCGTTGTATGGGTATACTGTGTATATACTTACAATGNATGATTATGATTATGATTATGATTATGCAGTAATAACTACAATCCGTAATGGACTTGTCAAGAACAAATCCTGCCAGACTAATCTTATTTCAGTTTTTGATGGGTAACTTCTGTGCTAGATAATGGGAATGCTGTAGATGTAATATATGTTGACTTTAGCAAGGCCTTTGACAATGATATTCTGCTTAGCAAGCTAATTAGCTGTGGACTGTATAATACAAATATCAGGTGAGCACTTGGATCCTTTTAAGTAGAAAAGTGGGATAAAATACTTTAAATAAGCAAATAGGTGGTTACAGAATCATACTCAGAGAGTGCTTATCTGTGGTTCCTTCTCAAACTGGGAAAAGGTAGCAAGTGTGATATCCCAAGGCTTAGTCCTGGGCTTAGTGCTCTTCAGCATTTTTCTTGGATGAGTGAGTGCAGGAGTACTTATCAGATTTGCCAATGACACAGAATTGGGTGGAATACCTAATACCTTGGAAGACAGAAACAAAATTCAGAAAAATCTTAATAGGCTTGAGCACTGGGCTGAAAACATTAGAATGAAATTTAACAGGCTTAAGTGTAAAATTCTACACTGGTGGGGGAAGACCAACTGCACAGTTACAAGATGGGAATACTTGGCTCTGTAATACCACAAGAGAACAGAATAACTTTTATTGAAGAGGTAGTACTACAAGTGCAAAGGATCTTGGGAAGTTGTAGATTAAAAGCTGAATATGAGCCAATAGTGCAGTGTGACGGCGAAGAAGGCAAATGTGCTTTTATGGTGCATTAACAGAAGTATAGTCTTCAAATTCCTTGTGGTACTAGTTCTCTTTATTCAGCACTGGTTAGGCCTTTGGTTAGGACAGAGTATTCTGTAGGTTCTGGATACCGCACTTTAAGAAGCATGTCAACAAACTGGAGCAAATTCAGAGGAGGGCAACAAGGTTGATCAGGGGAAAGAAATGAGTGTGTTTAGTCTTGAAAAAAGAAGACTGAGGGGAGATATGATAGCAAATACTTGAAAAGTAGCCATACAAAGGAGGGGCAAGATCTGTTCTTGATTATCCGGAGTATAGGACACATAATAATGGGCTCAAGCTACAGGAATCCAGATTTAGGCTGAATATCAGGGAAAGCTTCATAACTGTTAGAGTAGTACAACAGTGGAACCTGTTACCTCAACAGGTGGTGAGCTCTCCAGTGCTGGATGCATTCGAGAGAAAATTGGGCAACCATTGGACAAATTTGTTTTGACTCGAATTCCTGTATTATAGGCCCCTTCCAACTCAGTTATTTTATGATTCTATGTAGTTCAACTGGAACTGGCACATTTTTCACACCCCTGATTTGAGGTAAAAGCCCTGCTCTGAAGACTTTTAACAAGGGAGAGCAAGGGCAGCTACATCCACAGACATTGTTTACACACTCCTGATCATACTCCTGATGTCAGTGAAACCTAAAGGAATCCCACTGTTAAGGACTTCCAGAAAAGTTTGTAAGGCTTTAACAATTGCATGTGATTACCTGTATGAATGGTTATAGCCAAAGAGATCCTTCAGATAGAGAGCAAGTTTATTCAGATAGGCCCCGTCTTTTCAAATGCATGTCCTATTTTCTTCCCCTGTCCCCCTTCTTCTGCTGCTGCTTTTTTCTCTCCCTTCATGCTATATATCACAGTGACAGCTCATGCAGAAGCACACAACAATTGTTGCAAACCAGTAACCAATCAAATTGATGTACATGGTGCAGGTATCAGTTATGCTGATATCAACTATAATACTGAAAGAATAGTTGCTGTACCATTAGACTATTAGGGTAACATTTTATTGGGCCAACCAGAATTTCATATAGTAATGAGCAAACTTTTAGGATCCCAAGAGTTTCCTAAAGGAAAGTACAAAAAACTGGCTGGCGTTAAAGCCCTGGAGTCTGCATTTGCAGCCTTAAGATGGAGTGTGCGAGAACATAACAGACATTCATATTAGACTCTGCTAGATGTGGTGGAGGGATGAAGAAACAAATAATGACTGGATCTCAGTTTTTAAAATATATATGTAATCAACTGTTACCCAGATCTGTCTCTAAAATTTTACAAGTTTATTGTTGTTGTTTAGTCGTTAAGTTGTGTCCGACTCTTCATGACCTCATGGACCAGAGCACGCCAGGCCTTCCTGTCTTCCACTGCCTCTCGGAGTTTGGTCAAATTCATGATGGTAGCTTTGATGACGCTGTCCAACCATCTCGTCCTCTGTCGTCCCTTTCTCTTGCCTTCGCACTTTCACAATATCAGGGTCTTTTCCAGAGAGTCTTCTCTGAGATGGCCAAAGTATTGGAGCCTCAGCTACAGGATCTGTCCTTCCAGTGAGCACTCAGGGTTGATTTCCTTCACAATGGATTGATTATCCAACTATAAATAACCCAAGTCAGCAAATATTTGTTTGTGTGTGTGTGTGTGTGTGTGTGTGTGTGTGTGTGTGTGTGTGTGAGAGAGAGAGAGAGAGAGAGAGAGAGAGAGAGAGAGAGAGAGAGAGAGATGCATGCCAAGGTCTCATTGTCTTATAATGCTGGGCAATGTAGGATCAATTCTTTCTCTCTTCTATAGACATAGGGTTGCTAGTCACAGTAAATTTTCTCAGTGGTCCCCAACCTTGGGCCTCCAGATGTTCTTGTACTACAACTTCCAGAAGCCTTCACAACCACCTCTGCTGGCCAGGATTTCTGGAAGTTGAAGTCCAAGAACATCTGGAGGCCCAAGGTTGGGGACCACTGAGCTAGCTGACTAACTAGAGGTAGTAGTCTTTCCTTACTCTAGGATTCAGCACATGGGCTACCACAAATTAAATTAGGAGAGAATAACAACCTGTGATGAGAGAGAGAGAGAGAGAGAGGTAAGAAGGGATAGTTGTGAAGAAAGGCATCAGAAATAATATATTATTTTTGTGGAAGAAAATATAATTATATAATTATACTGTATTTTCACCTCTTTGTTTGGCACTTAAGTCATGGAGAAAATATAATTATGACTTAGAGGGCTACTCTATAAATGATGCTGCTTGAGGTGGAGAAATACAATTCTTCAGTGGTGACAGCAGTGTTGGGAGTCACCAAGTTTGTGTTTATCTCACTGGCCAACCAGAAACCACATGCTTCAATGCTGGGACATCAGGGGGAAATTTTCTGTTCCTAGCTCCAGCTTCAAGATTGGAATTGAGGAATGGTGACAGAAAACAAGCTTTCTGCTTCTAAAGAGGTCATAGTTGGAGCAGAGACAAACCAAGACAACATATTGCATGGAAGAGGCCACAGTGCCAAGCCATATGAGCTAGATTTTAAGTTATTACAGGAGAAGGGATGCTAATGAAATTGATATTTTATTATTGTGCAGATAAAATAAACATTTGGCTGTGAAGGGTGTGTGCTTCTTATCTGTAATAATCCACAGTAGAAGAAATGTTTAACATGAGAAAGTTATTTCTCTTCAGGGTGAGTCTGACATCTAGCTTTTTGGTACTGTACTGTATAGGTGTTTGTATAGAGATATTGTGCAATCATACAATTATCTTCAGACTGTATGCTTTATAATGACCAGTAACTAGGTTCAAATTTTTCCTCCATGAAAAAGGCAGTTCACCAAGTTTATACAACCCCACGGAAGAAGAGGTGTTCTTCCTGTGATCAGAGACAGTCAATTGTTGCTTAGCCCCACTGACATTTAGTGTGTGGTTTGTCTTCCTATTTATATCATTTGGAGGCATCTACTTCTGTGTGCCTTTCCCACTTTTTTTTTCCCTTTGTGGACTGGGCTATGTTGTGTACACTTCTGTCATGCAACTGTGTTGCCAGACTCTTCTGTAAAGCACCAGTATATGTATAAGTGTCTTGTTTCCATTTGTGGTATTGTGCAGACTATGGATGGGCTGTGTGCGTAAAAGCGTGATCAGGTCACAGCTGACTTTATGACATCTCTCATAAGATTTTTCAAGTATGAGATGTTTAAGGAGTGGTTTAACCATCACCCCCCCCTCCACCGGTGAGCTCC